ACTCCTGCTGCCTTAGGAAGGAGAAAATAACGATAAGTTCTTCACTCACCCCAAAAACGCCAAAGCACTTGCTGCCTACCTCTTTGCACACAACCACCTTTTCTACCTAATGGAGCTGAGCACAGCGCTGCTTCTCCTGTTGCTGTCTCTCTGCGAGGCGCCAGCTGTTCCTATGCTCCGTCTTGGCATCTTTGTAAGTACTTGGGGGCAAAATGAAGAAATCTGCCTGTTTTGCATGGGTGGGTAAGAGGAAAAAGAAGGCTAACCATAGAGGAAGAAAGTAGCCGTAGTAGGAAAAAAACAGCCTGGCTTGTTCTGTAAATTGGTTGACAGCAGATAGGTCAACCAGCAAAACATCCTTTTTTCATCTGATGTGCATAGACCACAATGAAAGTGACAATTATTTCATATTATCCATTTGTGCAGTTCTTAAATTTTGTAACTGTTAGAGAAGCGTGTGGTTCTTGCTTTTACTTGAGGTAACTCAAGAATCTGTGTGCTTTGACGGGGTGGTTTTAAAGTCATCGTCAGGGTCGGTGCCGTTACCGCAGCACCACCAGTGGTTCCTAAGAAGACAAACAGATCTCAGCCTGGGCCAGGCTGCAAAATGCAGGCTGAGAGAAGGGATACGCAAAGTGGTGCGTACTGTTGTCAGTCCACAACCGCTTCACGAGGTACCACTGTCAGGCACCCTGCTAGGAGCTGCTGTTGCCGGTGGGAGAATCTCCATCTGCTTTTGGAGCTGGTAACAGCGCCCTAGGATCATGCCAGGGGTGTAGAACAGCCCTGAGACAACCTTGGCATCAAAGCGTTCCTCAAAATGAGTCAGGGCTGCATAACTCAGTTTGGGGTTTGAGCTGTGACTAAAGCTGAGGTTGTAAGAAAATACTGTCGTCGTCTTTGTGGTGCATTTTGCATCTGCCGACAGAGAAGGGGTCCATCAGCGCTGCCAACAGCTGCGTTCTGCCGCAGAGCTTGATCAGGACCCTGTCTGTGGTTGTCCAGAACATCTATTTCAAGAGAAAACCCTTCTCTCTGTAAATTCTCTCTGCCCAGCAACTTTTCTTCCTGCATTTTGCTAAAAAGAATTGCAGTCTCAAACTTTTCAAAAGGTTTTTGCTCGAGTTGCTGGTGTCTTGCCCTTTTGTTTCAAACATATCAATACATTTTTTGATGTGTTATTCAAGTCCGAAAGGGATCTGGATTTCCAGGAAATTCTGGGTTGATACTGAATAGAGGAAAATTCTACAGGCTTTAATAAAAGCATAAAGCAATAAATGTAGAAACTTCGAAAAACAGAGTGCTGTGCTAGCTTCAAGAGCGGCCTTGGGGTTTCCTGCATGTCACAGAGCTGTGCTCGGACTGTTGTCAAACCCACGTGCTCCTCGAAAAAGGAAGGGCAGAGACGTGGCCTCTGATGTGCTGCTGTTTGTAATCAGAAGCGCTGGTTTAAGCTTTGCTGTATTGTAACAGGTCCACGCAACCCTGGAGCTGTTTGCGTTAATTGTGGTAGTCTTTGAACTCTCGATGAAGATGAGGTGGCTGGGCTTCCAAACCTTTATCAGGCACAAAAGGACTATGGTGAAGGTAAGTTGTCTGTCTGATTGTCAGTGTCTCTCCTTCAGCATCTTCGGGAACCGAAGAACCAGATTAAATATTGGCCTGTACTGTAGCATACTGTCTTGTACTGTATGACTTAGCCATGTGTCCCAGCTGCCAAATGATTCATGTGAGATCTCTAAGCTCTCGAAGACACCTCCCATCCTGAAAGTGTCCAAATAAATGGGTGGTCAGTGAGAGCTTTGCCTTTCCCAGAAGGAGACTGCAGCTGTGCCTCTCATTAAACCTCTTTTTTGCAGACTTGCGTGCTGTTTGTCCAGTTCATAGAGGCCATCGTGGTGTTGGTGCGCCAAACCTCGCATGTCCGGATAACGAGAGCTCTGCGCTGTATCTTCTTGGTGGACTGCCGTTACTGTGGTGCCGTCAGAAGGTGAGCGGTCAGCTGGCTGGGTTTGCTGCTGTCGTGCCTGGGACTGGGGTGAAGGAAAAGCACTCTGATCCTGCAGGCGTCGCAGGAAAATAAGTGTCTTTCATGGGCATTTCAGATCTCAGAGATCTTTTGTAATTGTGACTGAAGTGTACCTAGTAGGGAACCACGTAGGGAACTTTCATAGGCAGTAGCTTTGGATGTGCGCACGGTGCACAGGGCTGATGTGTACTGTCCTCAGCTGTATCAGCCGCCTCAGAGAGCGCACCACACGAAGATGCCTGTGTTGTGCCTGGCTCCTAGCTTTGCCTGTAAACTGCACAGTGAACCGCAGAGCTAGTCTTGAGTCTGGAGAAGGAAAGTTGACAGGGAGACATTAGTATTGTTTGCAGTACTTGAGAGCTGACTGCAAAGGGCCAATAGGTAGCTTGGACACGATCTTAATTTGCCTAGCTTTCTACTTTTAATCCTTGAAGGGAGCGGGGAGAAAGTCCTCAAGTATGGTGCGTTGTTTTGGTTTTGGTTGGTTTTTTTTTTTTCCCTGCCAACCTGGAGGGGAAAACGTGCAAGTTTTAGTTTAATAATGTTTTCTTATTTTTTCAGAAATCTGCGACAGATCTTCCAGTCCCTCCCACCATTTATTGACATTCTTCTCCTCCTGCTTTTCTTCATGGTGATTTTTGCCATCCTGGGTGAGTTGCATTTATGGAAGGTGAAGTGATGCTCTTAACCAGTTATTCTCCAAAAGCAACACAAACAACCTGGATGAATATAAAGCTGATCAGATTCAGAGTCCTGCCAGAATCTTCCATTTATCCCATTTCATCCACAGTCATCTGGCAGGCAGAATTAAAGAGCCAAAAAAATCTAGGAGCTGGGTATTTGGTTTTGAGACAAAGGTCCTTTTGACCTCTTCCAGAGGATAGTTTGTGGTGTGTGTGTGGTTGTGGTTTCCAAGTTCTGTTTCCATCAACTGTTCCTCAATCTTGTAAGTTTAGAGTAAACTCCCACAAATGCACGTGTCTGTAGCGTACCTGCTACCATCGGACTATCCTCAGAAAGTTTGTTTTCTGAAAGGATCGGTGAAATGCCGATGACATGTATTGGCAAATCTATACGGAGAAGGCCTTCCAGATACTCCTTCGTGGTGTCAGAGAGGGCTTACTTTTAGTGTGACCTTTTCTTTGGGAACAGAGACTCACCACTCTGCTGCCTGACATTAAACAGACTTTATTTTTGTTTGCTCTTTCCCCCTTTCTTGTCTCCTCCTCTACCTTCTCTGCTGCTTCTCTAGGTTTTTACTTGTTTTCTCCTAACCACTCGGATCCGGTGAGTATCACCGATTCTTTCAACGGAAGCTTGAGTCCCATTTTGACATGCTTAAGAATCAAACGTTACTGTGTAGACGTAGCTTATTCCTGTGTGGTGGCCGGGGAGGCCAGATGTTAGATGGCCAGAGGCTGCTTGGCAGCGTTGCCCTGGTTTACTCCCTGCTGGGAAGGAAGATGGCACAGAGAACTTCCTCAAAAGACAGGATGCCCCAAAGGGAACGTTCACGGAGTTGTTCCTTGTTCTTGGTGTCTTAGTTTAGTCAAACGAGCCACCTGCCGTGGTGGGTGGAGGAAGGTATCTGGGTGAAAGCTTGGCCGCCTCAGATGGTGCCTGTCAGAGGCCAGAGTCCGTAGCTTGCTGGGAGTGGCTACTACAAAAATGTATAGATGAGCTTTTAATTGTTTTAACTCTTCACATACCCAAAGGTCTCGGGGACCTTTAGAAAGGCCCAATGCTGAAGTACCCTTTCCCTAGGGGAGGCATCAGGGAATTGTGGAAGTGCCTTGTATTCAAGTGGGTGGGTGGGTTGGTGGTTGTTTTTTGAATGAAAAGTCGCTATGAAATTCTACTTGCATTTTGTCATGGGAGTGTTTTCTTTCAGTACTTCAATACCTTAGAGAACAGCCTCGTGAATCTCTTCGTGCTTTTGACCACTTCAAAGTAAGTTCATGCTTTTCTAGCTCAGTCTTTCCCTTTGTCCCCAGAGAAGTCTAGCAGAGCCAAGAGTTTATTTGCAGAAATGCTCTGTCTCCAAATGTGCCCCCTTTCCTCTGCACGAGAGAGAGATTTCCTGGGTCAGCCTGCATGGGAAGAACTGGTATTTCATTTTGTTTTAGGACACTGTGACCTCAAATGGACAGTTATCTCTAAGCGACTCAGACCACTTCATCACTGTGAGGGCAATAAGGAGGGAAACAGCTTTATTAGGCCTTGGTCCAAGGAGGGAAAGTTTCTATTTGTTCTCCTTTGTCAGCCGACAGTTTGCTGTTGTGAAGTAACTTCCCATTCCTCTGTGTCAGTTCACCTATCTGCTAGGAAAAGGGGATAACAACAGTGGGTAAATATTGATCTGCTGTCAGGGAGAGCTCTGAGGATTAGGAAATTAGCAAAGGATGGAATAAATCTTAGGTTGTAACACTCTTACGCTACGGCTGTATCGCTGTCGTTGCTAAGTATCAAAGCACAACCCTTAGCCGCATTACAAATCCCCTTTGCCCATTTGGTTTTTTGGGATGTGCAAGGAATGTGCTTTTCATAATTATTTTTTTCATTATGCCTCCATGTTCTTGCCGCTTGTTGCGAGGCACAAACTTCTGTGTCACGAGCAACCACACGTTTTGCAGATCTTTGGATGCAAGTTCGCACACCCCCCTGTGTCCTGTGCCTCTTGCCTTTGTCGTGGGAAGCGTAGCATGAGCTATTTGGTGCTTAAACTTGTGTCTTTTTTGGATGCAGTTTCCCTGATGTGATGATGCCATCTTATGCCCGGAACCCCTGGTCCTGTGTCTTCTTCATAGTGTATCTCTCCATCGAGCTGTACTTCATCATGAACTTGGTGAGTCTCTTGTTGAGGCACTTGACTTCTCTCTGCCTGACTTTGGAGCTCATTGCCCTGCAGTCTTCCCCATTCCCAAGAGCACTCTGTAATAATCTGCGACCCTTTGGCAGAATACTTCTAGAAACGGCAGCTTTGCTACACATAGGAGTCTCCTAATGTTTAACCACAAGGAGTTGAACTAAATCACAGAAAACAGAACGATACGAGTATCTTTCAACTTCTCTCACATTAATGTCATGCTTGGAGTGACATACTCAGTTGCATGAAATTTATTGTCCTTTTCTGTCTTAATTATGTATCATAAAATGGCATTTTATTATCTGGGCTTGCCTGAAATACTTTGTAAATCAGTTTGAAGGGGATGGAATGACTAAGTCTGGCAGGACTTGAAGAGTGCTGGTAACTGCAGTGTGAGAGCGTGGCTGCTGTGCTGGCTCTGCTTCTTGCAGCATCTAGGGCAGGGCCAAGACCCGCTCAGGTGAGGATGGGAGCGGTGGAAAAGGGGTTGTCAAAGGAGCTGAGGAATTCCACAATCCAAGGTGAGCGATTTCGTGCTTGTAGTGGGCTTGGATTTCACTGCTGCTGTCCTAGATGGAGCATTAGTTTTGATATGTGTTTGCCAAAGCTCCCGTGGAAGGGTGAGTCCAGAAAGCAGCCCTCAAAACCCGCTTTCCAGGAAGAGATCAGGGCATTTTAACAAACCTTTTGATACTGTTTTCTGTTGGCACGTGTGGCTCTTAAAACCACTAGCGAGTGTTAGGAGGCCAGAAACACCAGGACCTCTTCCAAAAAGTGGGTCGGTGTGTGTGCAGTGTGCTTGGTGATCCTTTTGTGGGATCCCTTATGGCCAAGGGGCCCTCGCTGACTCCATTCTGCCTCAGTCAGTGCAGTGCTTAGTAAATTCCTCCTGCAGGCAATGCCTCTCCTTGCCTCTGGGTGTTCCTGCCTGTTGGAGAAGCCCCGGCTCAGGTAGCTGCAGAGTGTAAGGATCTCTGCTGTCTTCTCTCTGCAGCTTCTCGCTGTTGTGTTCGACACTTTCAATGACATCGAGAAAAGGAAGTTTAAGTCCTTGCTGCTGCACAAGCGCACGGCCATACAGCATGCCTACCGCTTGCTGATCACCAAACAGGTACGGGGCCTGCGGGGAGGCTGAGGACAGCCTGGGGTGCGGCAGGAGGGGAGGTCAGCAATGTTTTAAGATCACCAGTGGTCTGGAGTGTTTAAAGAGCGTGTTCCAAAAAAGATGATTTCCGTCTGTTGACTGTAATCATACTCACCAAGGGCTACTGGTTTTTCATTCGTGTAACTTGTTTATATCTGTTTCTGGAGAAACACCAAAGTAGTCTGAATTTCAGCCCCGTGTGAGGTGATGGAAGCGTCTTGATAAAATGAGTGAAGTTTGTTCTGGAGAGCATGCAATCATGGATTTCTCTCTGATTCAGCGTGGGTCACTTGAGGACTTGCTTCTCAAGCACCAGTACTTAGAGGCAGGGTGGGTTATACGTGTGAAGGTACAGTACAGTTGCTAGATACTGCATGAGTAAACGGTGCGGAAACAGAAGTAATTCGCCTACAAACAACTCTCTACAGGGACAGAGCACTGGGGGAGAGGGTTGATTTCTTGCCTGACTTGTGGAGCAGGAAGATAAATAAGGCCCCAAAATAACTAGCCCACTTCTAGTAGATTAGTTCATGTTTAGGGCACATTCATTATATGAACAGTTCCTGAGGAATAGCTGAGTCTTAAAAAAGTGCCAGTAATGGGATCTGTTAGGCCGCCTGCTAATTTCCCAAGAAGAGTGGTTGAACTCTGTCGCTTGGGGTGTCTCGTTGGACAACTTTCACATGATGGGGTGACAGGGAACAGCTCGGCATTTGCTGGAGGGACCGACTGCCAGGAGAGCTTTCTGATCTCTGTGCTCTGGGATAAGCTCAGGACGTTAAAGTAACAGCTTAGGGTACTTTTTGGGGCTTAGTTATAATGGCATCTTACGGTAACGTAGAAATCCTGCTTAAAACAAATCCAGAGTGAGAATTAAATACGCTAGACTCCATGTGCTTCTGCCTGATGTCGCTGCTTATGACAACATTCCCTTGTTTCTAGAGGCCGTCTGGAATTTCCTTCAAGCACTTTGAAGGGCTGTTGCGGTTTTACAAGCCTCGGATGTGTGCCAGAGAGCGATATCTCACTTTCAAAGCACTGAATCAAAGCAATACTCCTTTAGTCAGGTAGGATGGTCTTACTGCTGCGCCCAGAGCGGGGAGGTTGCTTCACTCTCTGAAGCGAGGCTGTACTTCAGAGAGGATGGCTGGGTTTATGGAGGGAAACTTGTTTGGGGTGTGGGAATAGAGTTAGGTGATTGAAAGGACTTGTCTGGGAAGCAGGGAGCTTGGAGGGCTGGGTACCCTGAGAGCTGAGGTTTTGCTGCAGAGGTGATGGAGTTCCTGCGTGCCCTCTTGTGGATACAACGCTCTGCTGGCAGGCACCAGGCAGCCGCTGTTTCCCACCTCCCCTGCCAGAACAGAGGAGCGAGAAATTGAGAAGCAGCATTAGAGCCTGCAAGGAGCATTTCTTCACACAGTGCAGCCTCGCAGCTTAACAAGTTTTTGTTTTTTTCCAGCAGCTGGCTGTGTCCCCCAGGGTTTTGTTAATTAAAATCTGGTTCTGCTGGTGCTTTCAGGACTGTCATCCTCTGTGTTATGAGGCGGAGAATTACCATTCTGGTGGGTGGGTGCAGCTAACTCCAGCCAGCATGGAAGCAGAGGGAATTAGAGCAGGAGACCTTCTCTTCCTTTTCCTTTGTTCTGGCCACAGACAGGCTCGGAGCGAGCCTCCCACAAAACTGGTGCCGATGCTTCTCCTTAAAGTCAAGTGCCACAGAGAAGTGTTGAAAGTGGCGTAGGGAGAAAGGCTGAGCTCTTAAATTCAGGCACCTAATGACACCAGTAAGAGTCTGAGAAGTTCAGCATCCTCACTTTCAGACATCTAAAAGCTGTTACAGGCCTGACCCTGAGCACCTAGACAGGCACTTGTGTTTTATGAGTTTCTTTGCTTCCATGTCCTTTTTCAAATTTCATTGTTACCTTGAAAAGAAAATGTGCAAAGATGTTAGAAAAGGACTGGAGGAGTAATGAAGACAGTCCAAGACTACTTCTTGAAGAGCAGTACAATCTCTGTCCCTTGGAGTTTGCTATCTAAGCCTCAGGTCTTTCTTCTCAGTGGTAAAATTCTGGGTTTAGGAGGGTCAGAGTTTCCTCTAAGGACTGTAGTGTGACAGAAAGAAGGTGGGCTTTGCAGCCTGTTCTGGCTATTGTCAGTCAGTAACCTTTGGCCAGATGGGGAAGAGGTCAGTGTTGAGTTATATCAGCTGTGGCTGCAGTTCTAATAAGGAGTTAATAACTTCCAGGGACTCTCTACCGATGATGCCTGACAAGGACTATTAAGGATCTAATCAACTCCAAGGCTCTGATCAGATGCTTCTTTCTGTTTTGCAGTCTAAAGGATTTTTACAATTTCTATGAAGTTGTTGGCTTAAAATGGAAGGTAAGTATTTATTGGGTGGAGAAGAGGGGAAGTGTGTGGGAGGGAGGACAAAGGAGGCCAGTGGTTAAAGAGAAGGTGGCTGAGACACACAGGCAATCTAAAAGCAGTGGATGATGGGGATAAGGTGGGTCTCCATCACTGCACGTTTTTTGTATGGATGTAGCATTGACGACTTCTGATCGTGACTGTTCTGCTTCCAGGCAAAACGAAATCGCGAGCACTGGTTTGATGACCTTCCACGGACAGCATTCCTTATTTTTAAAGGTAACAGGCTGTGTTTTCATGCAGCATGTGTTCAACTAACAGGAAAAGCATTTATTTGCAAAGACAGGGTCCTCGGAAGGGACTTTTTCTTATGTCCCTGGTAAACAGCTGAGGGAAGGCCTACTAACCAACTGTCTGTGTATTCAGAGCCTCCAAGGCCAGAGCCTTGTATTCAGTGTCTCCAAGGAAGATTTCTGTCATGTAAATATTCCCTGTGCTCTGACCCAAACCCCAGCTTCCTTAAAATAAGAGACCTCTTGGCAGAAGCTCTGTAGCGAACCAGACCCTGAGGTCATGGAGGGCTGTATTCGTTCTTCAGCACAGAGGTTAGGTGGGGATTTATGATTGCTGAATCTAGTAGAGTTTCTAGAGTTTCTCCATATCCCAGGCAGCAGCTCGCAGCAGTGGCTGCGGAATGGGATTTGTGTTTTCACAAAAGCTGCTAGGCTTTCTGGTCCCAAGATGCCACTGCAATGCTTGTGCAGGTCAAGTGCAGCTGCTCGGGAAGGGGAAAGAGGTCTGAAATACCCATCAGTGTAATCTGTCTTGCAAATGTGATTTATCTCCCATGTCCCAGGTTGCCTGACTGAATGTAGCCATTCAGAAATAAGAACTTACCTGCAATTCTTTTTCAGTGTTGTATGCTAGTGGGAAACAGTTAACACCATCTTGATCCAAACACACAGCTACCACAGGAGTCCTACATAACCTCTGCTGATGCACTCAACCTTCCTTGACACATCTGTGTTGTTCCAAACACGAGCAGTGCTTCAGCGGCTGCATTTACCTCTGTCCACACCACAGAACTAGTACATAGAGGGGAAAAAAAGGCTTCTCGGGAGTTAAGGATAGTGAGTTCATTGCTGCTAAAATTTGAACTTGGTCCCAAGAAGTAAAAGTTAATAATCTACTAATCTGCTTAGTTTCTGTGCTGAGGATTGGTATGAAAAATGCCTCTAAGGAGAAGAAAGAGGAAGCTGCGTGTGAGGTGTGGAGGACTGCGTCAACATTTGTTTTGTCATGCTTTCCTTCACGCAGGCATCAACATCCTTGTGAAGTCCCGCGTGTTCCAATACACCATGTGTAAGTAGAAGGAACAAGCTGTCTCTCTCCTAGGCTCCCTTCATCGTGTGGATCTGGGATGCTCTGTCTGTGCCAGCCCCTCCAAGGACTCAGCGTTGTGGGGCCTGGTCTTTGGTTTGAGCCATGGCTTGTGTGAAAATTCTGGAGTTTTGATGGAGAGGGAGGGAGCTGCATGCTCGTACTGACCGCTGCTGCAGCCTGGGCTGTCAGCTCTCGCTGTGTTGCGTCCTCTGGAGAGGCTCGTTGGTTCATAACTGCTTCATAACGCGCTTGTGGGTCTGATTCTGTAGGAGTTAGCTTGTTGCATGTGGGTAGGTTGGTGGTTAGCTTTCACAAGCCTTGAGGTTTTTATCTTGCAGCTGGGTAAGGAACTGCCTTGCCAGTCAACGACCTTCTTCTGTTTGCACTTGAGAAAGTGCAAGCATCCTCGTTGCTGGAGGGATTGCTTGGTCACTGTACTGCCTGCAAGAATGATTCTGTGCTCCTCTCCTCTAGAGGAGAAAGAGTGCGTACTTGTGGTGCTACTCACTGTGTTCTAAACGATCTGTTCTTACTCAGTAATTTGGGCGGTTTTTTTGAACGTTGGAGGAGATGTTTTTTGTAAATTAGGATGCTGAACTAAACAGGGTGGGGTGGAGTGAGGAGACCTGAGTGGAAAGGAGAAGTCCTGCACCTTCAGTTCTCAGGATTTGAATGTTGGGGAGCAGCAATAGATCCAAGCTCACAGGGCTTTGTCCTGCCCTGCTGGGGACCTAGTGGCTCTCGAGATCTTGTTCCAGAACTAGGAGGAAGCTGAAATATGCAGGTAATAACATGGCACAATGTAAGATAGTTATGAGTAAAAATGATTGAGCATGATTCAGAGCATTGTTTTGTCTTAGTTTTGTTTCCTTCTGCAGATAAAGGTACTGCGTCTGTTAAAGGCCTGGGAAAAGTCAGGGTAGAAGTTTTGCAGCCCTCCCAAGTTATGAGTTCAATTTGTTAGCTGAATTGGAAACACTGGCCCTGCTGCTTGTCCTATATTGTACTCTTCTTGTTAGCCTAGGAAATGGGTGTCCTCTGGTCCAGGAGTGGTTTTGCTATGGGTTTTTACTTTGTTTTCCAGATACTGTGGTGGCTGTGAATGGAATTTGGATTCTTGTTGAAACCTTCATGCTGCAAGGTAGGAAACATCGCAGCTGGTTTCTTGGCTATGATGCGGGGGGATTGAATAAAGGGAAGGCTAGAAAAAGTTCCTCTTGTGTCTTGCAGGAGGAAATTTCTTCTCCAGAAACGTTCCTTGGAGCTACATAGTCTTCCTTACAAGTAAGCTGATGCCTCCCAACAGAGCTGCGTCATTTCATAAGGAGGGGAATAGACAGCTCTGTTCCCAAAAGATTATTCAGTTTGAAGTTAAAACTTAGCCACAGGTGTAGGGACTCCGTCTAGAACAATTCTGTGCCTGGCAGGGATCATCAGCGTCCACACAGACCCACGTGAACGCTGCTGCACTGTTACGCAGCTCCCTGTGCCACCGCGGTCTGGGGAGCCTCTTGCCTCTGGTGCAACTCTCTGCAAAAGCCACTGTATTACTCCTAACGCTGGCTTCAGCCCCGAGAGCAGAATAGCCTTGTTTTGTGAGGCACAGCGTGCAAAGTGATAAGCTCCTCCAGACTTGCGATGGCTCTGTCTGGAGTTGCTCACGTTGCTCTGCGCTGCACTGACTTTTCCAGGAGACATTACCAGCTCTGATCTGATGGCAGCTGTGAGCTGGCTCTCTGCCACGCGAAGCGAGGCACTGCTGTTGGAGTACAGAGTGCAGGGGCACGCTGAGGAGAAGACTGAAAGGACTAGATGAACTAGTTGATGAGCTGAGTTTTCTAATTGAACGTCATCCCCTTAGTCTTCCTTTTCAGCCCAGGTACAAGCAATTGCAACTCCACGTGCTGGTTCATTGCACTGCCATGGAACTCTTCAGTGATGTGAATTCACTTCCCTTCTCCTGCCAGCGTCTCTTGCTCAAGAGGAGAAGAAAAGTATAGCTCCACTGAATCAAAATAATGTGTAAAACTGCAGCAGGAGGTTCTCTGGAGAATCTAGGAGAGGTTGCTAACCTCTTATTTGAACGCTGGGTAGCTCTAGTGCTTCCCTGGCCATTAGTCTTCAAACCCCTTGTTAGGAAAGTTTGAAGGCAGAGGCACTCTGCAACACTTCTTTTCACCAGGATGTTGTCATCCAGCTCTTTGCTTCTCTCCCACCTTGGAACCTGGAAAGAAAGACTTTGGGATGACCGAAATGGGGCATCATCAGGTTATTGTGGAATTCTTTAACCTACAGGCTCACGAGGTGCTGTCAGGACAGGGCGTGAAGTATTCAGATGGCCCCCCTCTGAAAGGGTCTCTCCCTGCAGGTCAAGGCTACGCTATGGGATGCGGCGATGTTCCACTGAGATAGAAGGAAATAAACAGGCAGGACTGAATTCCCTCCACCACTTTCTGGCCTTTCCTACAGGAGCTTGGGCCTCAACATTTATAGCGTGTTAGCCAACTAACTGCTTTGTAGGCTGCTCTGGAGAGAAATCACCAGAAATACAGGAAAATGTGTTGATTTGGAGGGAAAATCTCTCTTTGGCGTCTCACCGAGAATAAAGAGGATGGGTGGGAGTCTGTTAAACCTATGTTCAGCAGTCCTGTACGTAAAGCACCACACATCTTTGAGGGCAAGCCTTTACACGAGTCCTCCATGTGATGCTGCTTATTTCTGTCCATGGCTGTCATCTTGTTTTACAGTCTATGGCGTGGAGCTGCTCCTGAAGACCACTGGGCTGGGGCCCGTCGAGTACCTGTCCTCGGGTTGGAATCTGTAAGTGCACACTGACGTTTTGAGACAGAGATGGCAAAAATTGTTGGGTTAGAAAGACTGGCTTCAGAGATGAGTTTTTTAGCCTGCTGATGGCCTCGTCTACAGGCCTATTGTAATCCTTCTGCCCTTGGCCTTGTGCATCTTGTTAGGCTGGAGCAGCACCAAGTCTCTGCTGAAACACTAGAGATAAATCATTGCTCTTATTTTATTATTTTTTTTTTCTTTCTAGCTTTGACTTCTCAGTCACCCTGTTTGCATTTTTGGGGCTCATGGCACTGGCGTTTAACATGGAGCCGTTCTACTTCATTGTGGTCTTGCGACCCCTTCAGCTGCTGAGGTGAGACGGGAAGGCTGGGCGGGGGGTACAGGGAGCAGGTGGGGAAGAAAACAGCCAGGCTGGTTTTCCATCAATCCCATTGAGGACCGAGCTCCTTACCAGGAGAGGGCAAGGACGGCTCTGTGGGTACGTGACCATGGCAAACAGGAATCGCGTGGGGTAATGAGATTAGCCGGAGTTATCAAAATGAACGATAACAAAAACTTGGGACGGGATATGAAACGCCGTGCTTTGGAGCTTAAGCTGATCTCTAATAGAGATCAAGGGATTTGCCAGGGGCAGATTATCCTGTGTCTGCCTTCGTGGGGTTCTTACACCTCCACTAAATTGTCTGATGCTGTTCAGAGAAAAGCTCTTCTGTCAGGGTGAGACAGTCTGAGCCAGTTTAATAATTTCCATTGAATTACCAGAAATTACAGTTTTCAAAGGATGCTGCTTTCTAGGGTGAAGTACAACCCTGCATCTCGCACTTTAAGCAAGACTGCAGCCTGTAACATCGCTGCAGCTCAGTAAGATGGGTCTGATTAACCCTCTCGTTCCAAGGCTGTTACGGAGGTACATTCACCTTCGCAGAACACTGAGAGCCATGGGTGGAAGGCATTGGAGAGACAAAATGTTTTGTTAAAAACAAGCTAATGTAATTTAGCTCTTCAGTTAGGATTTAAAGAACACTTTATGACACTCAAGGGGGGGGGGGGAAAAAATGTTTTCTCTGTTGTTCCCCTGCCAAAGCCTGTGTTTGGCAGCTGTGTTTCTTTGCAAAGGCTGATGGAGTTGCCAAATCTTAAATTAGCAGGCACAATGTAGTTTTCTTTCATCAATTTTTATTGGGTCATGGGGGAAACACAGAAAAGCTTGTGAAAGGAGTAATGAATCCTGACCCCGTACACAGGACTAGTTTAAGTTCTTATTATTTTTATTTTTTTTTTTAAATAGCTATTTATGCATCATGCTGTGTAAAAAGACGTAGACTTTTCCTTGGGATTCCTCAATCCTGTAAATAGTTAGTCGAATGTGTCATAAACAGCTGGGACGGTGGGACAGCGGGACGTTGTTAGGTGAGCAGAGACCGCTTCAGAAGAGCAGATCCTGTGAGTTTGGTGTCAGGAGACCTTACTGTTCATTGACCTGGGAGGTGCAGAGAACTGTGATGCTCTATTTCCAACACCACCAGGAAAAGTGCTGTGCGTACGTAACTACTGGCTTCTCTTTTCAGGCTATTTAAATTGAAGAAACGCTACAGAAATGTCCTGGACACTATGTTTGAGTTGTTCCCCCGGATGGCCAGGTACGAACTCCTCTTTGGGTGATGGTGGGAAGAGGGGGGTCAGAATAGGGACCTGTCAAACCTGCTCAAGGTGCTTATGCTCTGACCTGTCAGTTGATTGTTACCGATTCTTCCGCGTGCTGCAGCGGAGTGTTACATCTTCCCATTTCTTGGAGCGGTATGTGATAAGCAACGCTCCAGCACCCTGGGCCTCCTCCAGCTTTTGTGTTAGGAGGATGACCAAGAGTCAATGCTTGTTTAATGTTTCTCCCCCATCCCAGCTTTTGGTGTGAGGGGAGGCCTGTTTGGGAGGAACACTGGCATGGATATACTCAGCCCCAGATGCTTCCCTGTCCTTAGTACGGCCACTCGAGAGCGTTATTGTGAAGTGGTGGGGCAGAAGGAGCTTGGTGTTTGAGTGCGGCGTCCTCAGACCTTATTCCCTTGAAGGAGTGTTAGCTAGAGAGCCCTGTTCTTGGCACAGTCCCTGCATCCAAGGACGTGGAGAGGGCACAACCAGTGTGTGTTGTTCTTTAATAAAGAAACTGTGGAGAGACGTTTGTTTACCAGAAAAAGAGAGACTGGGAGGGAATCCAGGCTGCTCTTCAGTTTCTCTCTTCGGCAAGTGGCAAGCTCCTTGTCCAAGGACTCCTTGAATGAGAGCAGGCGAAGAACTGCAGAGCCACAGTGGCAGGGAGGGTGGTCTGGGGTTCTCAGTGCTGCTTCCCATCCATTGGAAATTCCTTCCAGAGAAACCAGCCTGTGACTTTGTGTTTCCCTGCCTTAGCAACTCTTGAGTAGCGCAGTACTCTCTCTGTTTTTGCCTCCAGCCTGGGTTTAACCCTGCTGATCTTCTACTATTGCTTTGCCATTGTTGGCATGGAGTTCTTTGCTGGCGTGGTCTACCCGAACTGCTGCAAGTGAGTACTGCAAATCCATCCCCCCTCTGCAGTGGCTTTGGTGCACAGCCAGCAGCAGTGCCTCTGGCAGCTCTGTCTCCCCGTGGAGAAGGGGCCAGAGGATGGGTCTAAACGGGGTTTTGCAGCTGAGGCAACATGCTGGGAAAATCTAGGGGAGACACTGTACTTCTCTAGGTATGAAATGGCTTTCGCAGTGCATGTGGAAAGGGAGAGACTTCTGTGGTGGGGTTGGCTGGTTTTAATAAAGCTCTAACTCGCCTCAGGTAGCCGCACTGGGAAGACTTATTCATGATACTGTGGCTGGAAACTCTTGTAACAGCTGCTCTAGAGCAAAGTTGAGATTTTTATCGTGGTGACACCGGAGTTGCTCTGCTAGACGTGTTAGGCCTCGCTTTGTACAGAACAAATTCACCTGGTCCTGGAAGCTAAGCTGTCCTGCGCCCTTTTCATCTTAAATGACAGCAGACCACTTGGAAATGCCAAGCTTTAAGGGTGTGAGCCAAGGAGTCTAACTCAAACACTCGGTTTCTCTGGTGTAATCTTTGCTGAATGATTAGACAGACTCCATGTGGTCCCTGGGCTTGTGCTGAGCTGTGAAGGACAGAGGCTTTCTTTCAGAGAAAAAGGCAAGTGTTGGCCAAGAGGCAGAAATTACCACATTGCTCACGACCTTCTAAGTGTTTCGGTATTTATAACCCTTGAGATTTTCCTTGCTTTTCCACTTCTCATTCTTTGTCCTGGTTTCTCCAACCAGCACGAGCACAGTCGCAGATTCCTACCGCTGGGTGAATCATACAGTCGGCAACAAGACGGTTGTGGAAGAAGGTTATTACTATCTCAACAACTTCGACAACATTTTGAACAGCTTTGGTAAGGGCAGTTTTGTCTGTAGCAAAGACTATTCCTTAGTGCATCTGTGGTCCTGCAGAGCTGGCTGGCGGGACTGCAATGCTCATGTCAGCCTGGGACTCTCCCAGAGAGTCCCACTAATGCACCTCAAACACTCAGCATCCTGCTCTTTCTGTCTGGAGAGCTCCAGCTGACTAATTGTGCCATGACTGTTCTGCAAGGTAAGCAGACATCTCTTAAAAGCCAGCGTGAAGCCAGCAGATCTGTTCTGACTAGTGATCAGACCAGACTTCCAGAGACATTTAAGTCACTACCCTTCTAAAGAACCAGTAGTGATGCTAATATGTTTCTTTAAACCCACTGATGAAGAATAAATTGAATGTGTTGATTACTCTCCATGATTTTTCTTAATGTGTGAGCAGAGATGCTTATCTCCTGGAGATTTCAGAGGTCTCCATGCTCTCTGGTGGAAAGAGTCAGGTCTGTTTCTGATTTTTATTTTTAAGAAACAGATTAAGCCACGCTCCTGGTTCTGTAGGTCTAACCCCCTTTGTCTGAAGTAATTGCAGTGATGAGGGCCTGCATTCTGTCTCTGGATTTGCTGGCTGTATTGAAGCTTCGGTGTCTTGCGTCAGTCTTCCCCGTCAAACACTTTGTCTAAGAATCACTGTAAAGTAGGTCAGGGTGGATAAAGCAATTGTCTGTATTTTTTCTCCCACTTGTATACAGTCACGCTGTTTGAGCTGACAGTCGTCAATGACTGGTACATCATCATGGTAAGTAAACCTCAGCTACCTTATGTGTATAGACAGCACAGACTCTTTGCCACTTGAGCTAGATCTTCCCCGCCGCCACTGCTTTCTTCCCCTGGTGATTGGAGATGGGCCCAACGTTGTCACTTCTTGTTGCCAGACATCTTTTGCTCCCGATCGTTGGGTGACAGTTGACCTCTGGCATGCTGCTGGGCATGTTTTGTTGTGAATCTTGACCGGCCTTCAGGCCAGGTTTTGCAATCTGCTCAAGTGAAGTCACCCAGTATTCCAGCTTGTCACCCTGCAGTCCAAGCTGTGTTCTCATAGCAGCAATGGTTTGCACAGCCACAGGCTTGACATGTTCTGTGTGTTTGCATATAGCAACCTCACTCCTTAGCTTGAGAGGCAGATTAGCTGCAAGGACCAGTTGGGGCACTGAGCGTTGCCCCCTGGGGCTAACTGTGGAGCCATGAATGAGAGAGAGATGGTGTTTATGCTGCTTTATGTCTGTTGGCAAGCAGTTAACAGCAGACTCTTCCTTCTTTTGTGCACTACTAACTTCTTCCCTCTCCTCTTTAGGAAGGGGTGACATCCCAAACTACTCACTGGAGCCGCCTTTACTTCATGATCTTCTATATTGTGACCATGGTAGGTTTCTGGGCATGCTTCGTGCATCAAATAGTGGGGATGGGGAGGGGAGACAGCTTTTACTGTGTTCCAGTGGCAGCTTGCGTCCCTAAATGAGGACAACTTTGCTCTTCTACATAAATGTCTTCAGAAACAGGTGTGAGTCCACATCACTTGCAGAAAGTTGAATTTATGGGCACTGACAAAGCTGATGCTGCACAAATCTGGGCCTGGGTAATGACTAGGGCAGTGCAGTTTTGTTCTGTCCCCGTTGTGGTTGACGTTAGCAGTTTACTTGCAGGCAGATGGATGATGTGCATCTCCTCTGCCATGGAGGAGCTGGGGAGCGTGGAGTTGAAGCACAGACCAAATGCTCAGCTTTGTGTTGCATTGGGCTGGGAGAATCTCCCAGCAGCAGGCTCCTGATCTCTTCTGTTCATGTCCTCTCCCAGGTGGTGATGACAATCATCGTGGCTTTTATTCTGGATGCTTTCGTCTTCCGCATGAACTACACTCGGAAGAACCAAGATTCAGAAGGTCAGAACTGAGGACTGGCCAACCTACAACATTGTGTCTTCTCTCCCTGGTGCCTTACGTCTGCAGGAGAGAATGGCATTGTCCACCAAAGACCAGATTTTTGGTTTAGCCTGACTTCTTAAGCTCATTCTTATGCTTTTGTGTGGTATTTCTGTCCGGCCTTTCTGCTCTGCCCCTCGTCTCTCCCCCACCACTCCCCCAACAGTGTATGTGTACACATGTGTTTATCTGCGTGTGCACACACTTCAACTGCTTGAGCCATTTCAACCAAATTATTTAAAGATAGGAAGTCTGTATGCATTTCATGAAAGAAATCTCAGAAACATTACAGCAATGATGTAGCAAAGCTCAACAGGAGAACTTACAGGAAGGGAAGGTGATTTTTTTCTTTTAAAACCAATTTCCCTCCCTCACTAACATACTCACCAGCACCAGAACGTGTCTGCAAGCGCCTGGTCCATCATTCAGGCACCAAGATGCTGGATCCAAGTGGTTTACCAACACTCTGTGCCATGACACAGAGGACAAGGGATGCTGCCTATTCAGTTCTTTCCACATCTCTGAGTTTTACTTAGGCTGGTTTTGGACATAACCTTTCCGTACCCTTTAGGAACAGACAGAGGCTAGGTTCTCCATCCCCTCACCCCTGTGAGTCACCAGTTGTACTCGCTGTCCTTTGTCTCCTGAGCTGGGCGTCTGAAACAGCATGTAACTGCATGACCTGCTAATTTAGGTGCCATAAACACGTTAATCTCTTATAGCCCTTCTGTTATTCCTTCAGGTAATCTACACCCAGGCTTTTCTATTCATTCTCTCTGCAGACTAATCTTAATAATTCTTTACACTTTTCTGCGGGAAGGAGATATAGCTACTGCAAGCATACATTTAATGCCAATCTTCCCCACTGAAACATGGTGAAGGCCCCAGCCACAGGAGTAGCTTTGATCAGCCCCTCGTCTTTCTCGGGTGCCAGAAGATCCAAACGTGTGGCGCAGGCCCGTAGGAGCCAGGCGTTGTTAGTTACAGAAACGCTTTTCATCGTGATCCTTCCTGCACCCGGTTTGAAGGGTGCAGTGAAAGACATTTGTTAGCACATAACTCCCAAGCCGTGTTGGGCAGCTGAAGGTCAAAAAGCGGCAATTCCTGTGTGATTAGTTCCTTTGCTAGGTAATTTACAGGCAAGCAAAAAGCTACAAGGTTTGGTTTTTTTAAGATACTGAGGAGGCTAATGTTTTAAAAACCTGAGATGCTTGCTAGGCCTACACACTAGTTAACTTCTTCCCTGCTTTGCTGGGGGACGAGGACATATATGTTCTAGTCACAAAAGTAGGTACAGACTGTGCCCGACATCTGGCTTGGTCCTGTGTGCTGTTAAGCTTTGCCTCCCAGGATTATCGTAGCAGCTGAGGAAGCAATGTTCATCTCGGTGACGTTTTTTTCCCCTCTTTCTTTTTCTTGCCTCTCCAGAAGACAACGGCATTGTGCTGGAGAAGGAGATCTCCAAGGAGGAGGTGGTTGGCATAATCGAGCTGTACAAGCGGAGTTCAGCCGCCGCTGAAACAGCTCAGCTGCAGAAGATCGTTTTGCAGATGGACAAATACGGGGTAAGAGGAAAAGCTTACTGCAAGTTCTCGGCTTCAGGGGAGGGAGGCGTGCCAGGGCCACAAATGTCTTTTTGCTGTCTTCTAGAAAAAGCTGCATGTGTCTTCGTAGTGTCGAGAGCCGAGCTACTGGAGGAACTCTGCAGCATCGGCACAAAGTTTTGCTGCTCTAGAAAAGTAGCAGCTGAATTTCCCCCACGCTCTGAATAGCCTTGACAAAGCTCGTTGCTATTGCCTGCCTCTAACTTCACTTAGAGCTGTGCTGGCCCAGTACTGCCTGGAAAAAAGTATATTTATTTTTTTCTCGAAGGAAGCCACTGTCTTGTCATTCTCCTGCCATTCTCTCTGTGCCATCAGACGCTTAGGCCCGGACGGTCCTGAAGCATCATGCAGCAGTATGATGGTATCGATTCCAAACACCAGGCTTCCTTTCTCCATGGCACTGCTTACATTTTCATTCCAAAATAGGACGGACAATTGGAAAAATGAGCTGACCTGGGTAACTGTGCTTGTCTCAGAACTGTTGTCTCATGCATGTGGGAAGAGCTTAAGTGGTTGTTTTAATAATAGCCACTACATTCTCGTATCACCACTACAAAGTGCAGGTGCTACAGTCTCTTAGGCGACCTTTATTTGCTTTGGTTGGCTTGGTAGTTGAAGGCTGAGCTCTTGTTCACATAGACAAAATTCAGAATAGCGACGATGATACCGATCAGAAGCAGTTTTCAAGACAATAAACCAAAGGAGGATGCTGTCCTTAGCCTTGCAGTGGTGTCCAGAATGATGATGCCAGACCTGACATTTCTTTTGCTTCTCAATCCTGTTCGTATAACTCATGTGGTCAAAGAGCAATTCAGACTTCAGCTCTCTGCTTACACGATTTAAGAAGTCCAGACCCGTGAAGTAAATGGTGTGGTCTAGACAAGTGGGACCTGAAATTGTTCTTAGATGAGATCTTATTTGGAAGCTTGGGTTTGAGCCTTGTTCCAGGCACAGATGTGATGTTCATCTGACTTAATTAAGCACCACTGACAGACGCATCCATCCGAGCTACGGCTCCCTCTGTAGTCTTTGGGGATCTGCTCAGTGTGATTCGTCTCAGCCTGCAGTAGATGCCTGCATTTGTTTAGGTGACGTGCGCCCTAAAATGCCTTTTTCCCAAGGCGATAGAAGCAGCCCAGGATAGCCCGGGCTCATCCGTGGATGATGGGTGGCCACATGAAGGATGCCTGAAGTTCCAGGGACTGATCCCGTGAGCTGCTCGGTGACTGATGAATGTCTTTTTTTGTTTTTTCCTCCTCCTTCCCTCAACTCTTCAGCAAACATCAACACTGTTTCTGGGACGCAGATCAAGGACCAAGAGTGATTTGAGTATGAAGATGTATGAGGAGGAGATACAGGTATGTGGGCCTGAGTTGGAAATACCAGCAAGCCTCTGTGGTGAGAACATTGCCTAGAATAACAAACCATCCCTTCCAGCAGTGGAGGCCGCCTTCCTCCAAGACCCAGGCAGCCATGTGCTCTGCGAGAAGAGTGGGCAGTAGATGAAGTGTACTTTAGATTGATCCGTTCTTGCTCTCGGGGACTTTCGTAAACCACAGAGCACGTCAGAGCCTCCTCAGCAGCTCCGGGTGCCCGGCTGTGCAGGTGTGCGTCAGCTGAGTCGCAGTAACCTCGCACGCGGTGTGTGCGTAGGCGCTCCGGCTTGGCTGAGCTTACCCAGGCTCACCGAGGCAGACGTGTTTGCTGGGGCTACGAGCACATGCGTAGTTCCTGGGGCTTGGCTGCTGAACGCTAATTTGTTAAGCCGCTGGAATGTGATTGTGTTTGAGTTTGGGTGTGTCTGGCTGACACAGAAATCAAGTGTTCTCCCAGGCAGAGTGCTGCTCGCTGCCAGCAATGCTGCCTGGTTTTCCTTCAGAAGAGCAAGCTAACAAAGATGGGAAATACTGAAATCAACTGAATCTCTGGATTGTGTAAGGCAATCCTGCTAGTGCCCTTCGTGGTCAGGAGCTTTATGCCATGGATTTGGTCACTGTAGTGCCTGCCAGACATTCACCTCCACGGTGAAGGTCATGGGCTAACGTAATGATTAGTACTGAAAGAATAATCTTGTAACCCTTTGAATCTGTCCTTTGTCCCTTGGGCAGCTAGCTTGGGCATGAGTCTTCAGTCGCCCTAACAAAAATAAACATGTTATTTGCCACGGAGCTGGGTGGAAATCTGCAGAGAAGCTCCCCGCCTGTTCTGCTTGGTCTCTGACTGAGGGATGCAACACCTTGTAACACCCTGGGCGCTGCCCAGGATTGGGAGCAACTCTGCAAATCCCAAACATCACCGAGACGTCAATACTAGAGTCCTAGACGTTCAGGAGGGACGTCCTGATGAGAGAGGGATGTTTCCTTGCCCAGGTTTGTCGGTTCAGCCGACTGTAGCCGAGCCATAGCTGGTACTCCTTGCTCGGACTGTGGGTGGCAAGGTCTCGGTGCGTCCGTCATGGCCATGCTGCAGTTAACCAGGCTGTTCCGGGAGGTTAGGCTGGATCCAGGGCTTTGGAAAGAGCCCCTCTGTGCCCTCACATGGCAGAGCAGCCGAAGGCTCTGCCCTTCGGGGTCCTGCTGGGGGGCTGCGAGGCCAGTGTGGGGCAGAGCCTGATCCCCGTGTGTTCCATCTCCTGTTGCAGGAATGGTATGAGGAGCATTCCAGAAAAGAGGAATCTCAGACGCCATTGCAAGAGCCTGCATCTGCTTCCAACAGCTCTCTGAAGCCCCTGAGCCTCCGACAACGCTCCCAGACTGTCATTTAGGCCTAGCTAACGCAAGCCGCCTTCTATGCAATAACCTAGAGTATTACTTCATGGCATATATATTGGGATGATGTATATAGATCTGTTCAGTGTAGTGTTCAGCTTTAGGGTTAAATCTCTTCCCCTAGGCACTGAATTGCTGAGAAAACAGAGGCCTGGGGGACTCGGTGTAAAGCTGCTACACCCAGATCGAGCACGATGCCCGGGCTCGGCACAGAGGGAACATCTCGGCCAGAACAGGGACCTTCTCCCTCCGAGCCGCGTCCCAGGCTCGAGCCTGCTGTTTGTCTTACCGCTAACAGACCTTGGGGAAAGGGATGTGTAATCCATTAACAGCAGGGAATGTGCTGAAGCCACCTGCTTAATATTAAACCTTTTGCCCTTTTTGAAGATCTCTTTTGCTTAAAGGGTGCCATTAACCTAGGAAAAAAAGATCAGGGAGTGAGTTTTTGTTTCTTCTCCACCTTCCTTATGCAAAGAAAGGGGAGGTGGTGTGAAATTTCAGCAATTTTGGAAGAGCAGTCTGCCTTTCCCCTCCTTTTTGGCACACCTAGACGCGCTCCCTGTAGTAGATCCAGCTCTGATTATTGAATTGAGCTGTCCCCGAGCAGTTCTGTGGCAGCTGGAGACAGAACCTGAGGGCCAGCATCTCATCGTGTTATAACCGTAGGCGGGACAGGAGTTTGAGGAGACAAACTCTGTCTCTGCTGCAGCTGTCCAATATCTGCATCGCTGCTGGTCCGTTCTGCCCACGGCACTGCCTGGGATTGGGATCACCTCTGGAAAACCCAAAGCTCCTGTCCCTGTTCAGCAAGAGGGGGGATTCTGCGGGGTGACAGTGCCACTTGGCCACCTGCTCTGTAAATGGCAAACCTCTGGCTGGTCCGTAGCTCAGACAGATGACTCGGAGGGAGAAATGGAAGGTTTTGCAGCTCCAAGTCTGACTTAGTTCAGCCTGGCTCTGGGTTAAGCAGAGCTTATGGGCATCAAACAGTACTGCCGGTTAGTCCTCAGCCAGGTCATCGCTTTGCTTATAGAGGTGAGCGAGGCCCAGCGCAGCGGTGTTGCTCCTCCCTTGCTCTCACCCTTGCAGAAATGTTCCTCAGGCTGGCAAATGCTGAGTCGGACCTTAGGAAGATCCACTGAAGAGCTTTACTGTTCCCCTGGATTTTGGATGCAGGAGGAACATGGAAGATGATGGTTCTTCTCACCTGTCTGCTTTTCTGCAGCTGGCAAGGAGGCTGCCAGACCTGGTGGCTGAGGGGGGGAAGGAAGGGGGAAAAGGGATCCCTTCCCAGCTCTGCCACGTTTATTCTGTAATCATGGCAGGTTGCGTCATCGCTCGTGTTTCGTTGCCCGCAACATGATGAGAAAAACGGTCTCTGTAAGTCCTTTTTTTTTTTTTTTTTTTTTTTTTTTTTTTTTTTTTTTTCCGTGTCCGCAGAAAATGTGGGCGGGGCCAGGGGTCTGGGATCCGGGGGGG